ACATTCCAAACTCCTACTTTTTTATTCCCTAAATCACAAATGACCCTTTGTGATGTTAGTAGATGTGGAGTAGAGAGATAAACTTCAGAATCTCTAAGATCTTTTGCATATTTTGACTGAGACAAATCTGAAACATTCCAAACTGTGAATTCCTTTTCTGATTTTTAAATCATAAGATACACTAAAACATGAACAAGTTTACTCTGTTTTATGTTAATGTCCCTGTTATTTTTATACCCCTTTATACAAACAGGAACAGTGTTCTGTTTTCAGAACAGAAGAGCTGGTTTCCTGAGCTAACAGGTTGGGGGATCAGGTAGGGAACAGGGTGATCTACCAGCTGCCTTTTCCATGCTGAAAGGAAATTTCCTGAGGAGTGAAATTCTAAATTTAGGTTTAATGGGTGTCCATTTGTGAGTAATACAGAGGAGAGCTGGCATTAGAAGACAGTAATTTTCTTCCAATGTTTCCAAAAGAAAAGCAGCAACCCCAATTTGGTCCAACAATCATTTATACTGTTTTTAAACATATTAACAGGCTTCAAGTGAGGGGCACTGGGGATATACTAATGATTAAAACACATCCCTTAGTCTTAAGAATTATCTAGCAAGGGCTCAATTATTCACTCAAATTTGTATCTTCATGAAACTGGAAACATGCGGGGAGATACTTCTGGTGGACAAGTGGGAATTTAACATGTTTGGGTCTAGTTATCAGCCATATGCACAGAAGAGTAAAAAGTGAAGAATCAAGCTGACCTCGGTGGGAAGGTCATCAGGTAGAGACACTTATTGGGCCATTGAACCATAGACATGATATGTAGTTCTTTCAACGTCTCCCAACAGTTTTGAACTGGTTCTCAAAACTAAATAGACCCAGAAAATAAATGTGCTGGGTTTGCCAAATTTGTATTTGCTCTGTCTTCTGTCAGCAGTTAGATGCCCTTGCTTACCCATCCATGCTTCTCATCCATTTTAGTAGGTTGAGGGAACCTTAAATGGGTACTCACTGGAAATACACTTAATCTGTTGTATGTGACAGTCAAATGTATCTTTCTAAGGCCATTTTGACAATTACTGTTTTTCATTGTCCAGTTTGATTTTGCATTTGTTCCTAGTATATCTTAAGACACCTGCTAATGCCAGCTCAAACATTTTTTGGAGTGTAGCTTCTACATCACACCCAGGCCCCAAACCTCCACATCTACCTTAAAAGACACCAAAAATAAATGCAAAAGAAGGAAAGATATTACATTTACTTTAAGTTTGGGGTGTAGGTTGATGCTCATGATTAACTTCAGAGTAGGATGTGGATACAGAGTTTGCTTGTAAGTAGGGAGATTAAAGAGCCCACTGGAGGTCACTTCTAGCCTTGAAACACTCATTTTGCCCTTCTGTGATTAATAGCATAGCATAGTGTCCCATCAATTACTCAGCAAATTTGGTTACCTCCAAACTTCACCTTCATCTGAGTTCATACTTTTTATCCCATCCTATTGGTTGAATTTTGGTTCAGGGAATTATTATATAACCTTTAGTGTGCCAAGATAACATGTCCCAGTATTTTACTGTGAAGGATTATTGGGATTCTCTACATATAGAGAAAGAAAGAAAAGGATCTTTCTGGAGACAGAGCTCCCACATTCTGCACATCTTTTACAGGTGGAGGTTGGTATCTCCTTGTCTTATTGTTTTTGATCCATGGGAATATCCTTAGAACAATCAGGAGGACTCAAGTTTATTTTTTTCTGACTCCATCCTCTATGTGCACACTAGTCCCATTTTTCCCATCACACATGCCAAGCTTATTTTCATCATTTTAGTTCAAGTACCAGTCCTTTCTGTCACCAATTCAGATAACAAATCTTTATTGAGTATGGGTTCTGTGCCTGACACTTCATTAGCTCTTCTTTTTCTAAGTTAACGTGAGACTATCTTTTGAAGTGGTCTAGTATTTTATTAGCTTATAATTTAGAAAAGGAAATTAGGAGCAAAGGAGTAATGAGACTGAATGTCCCATGGGCTGCAGATTCAACATGTACAAGACAGGCAGTTTTCCTGGACATCTCAGTCTCATGAATGGCTTTACGAAGCAATCAAGGAATCACCAGAACAATGGGATAAAGAGCTTCTGCCAAATGTATCTTTTTAATTTATGTTATCATCTCTAGTTTTCCTCTGCTGTCATTCCCTCATGTTTAGTGAGGATTGTAGGCACAGTTTTAATCTGTCAGCATTTGAAACTTACACACACAAATACAGATTAAATTGAATAATAGTGGTATGGAAAGGTAACATATTTTCATAGAGATCATCATTTCCTTCAACTGAATGTCACAGTGTTTTGGCTTTTTTCAATTTTTAATGGCTTCACCTTTACTTTTCCCTTTTCTTTACTACTGACATTTAATTTATTGTCATCAACGAATTAGTACATGTTTATTGAAAGGTTATGTCTGGCATCATGATGGATACTCTAGAATAAAATAGACATTGTTCCTTATATGTTTGGAGCCTGCTTATGAAGACAAAATTTATAGTCATGAAATACATGGAAATTAGTTGTGTCCAGTAATGTGTATTGGTCATCAGTATAATGGCAATTTGAAGAAGAAAAAGATATATGAGGACTATTGAAACTAGAAAAGTCTTCTTGCAGAGTAGGAGGAGTTGAGTCGATCCTTGCACGGTGGTAGAACTTATATCTGCACTGTTCAATAGGATAGCTTCTAGCCACATGTGGCTATTGAGCACTAGAAATAAGGCAAATTTGTTTTTTGTTTGTTTGTTTGTTTGGGTGGTAGAACTTATATCTGCACTGTTCAATAGGATAGCTTCTAGCCACATGTGGCTATTGAACACTAGAAATAAGGCAAATTTGTTTTTTGTTTGTTTGTTTGTTTGTTTTCCCTTTTGTCTTTTTTCATGACCGGCAACAGATCGCAACCCTCAATGTCGCGCCCGTACCAGACCGGGACCGACAACGGGATCGCAACCCTTGGTGTTGCGCCCGCACCTCGCTCAGCCAGTGAGCGGCCGGTCTGTATGTGGGATCCAAACCCTCAGCGGGAGCGCCGCCGCGCTCCCAAGTGGTGCACTGTAGCAGTGCGCCACTGGGCCAGCCCCAAAATAAGGCAAATTTGAATCAAGATGTTCTATAAGTTTAAAATACACACTGGATTTTGAAAACTTATTAAGAAAAAGATGTAAAATATCTATTTAATA